GCTGGTTTTGGTTGTCAGCAGCAAACTGGTTGATCCACCCTGAGAAGGTGCTATTTAAGAGACTGAGCTGAAAACAGCACCTCAGACTGAGGAAGTCTCTTGGATGAGAGACGAAACGTTTCTAGATTTTTTTTGCTTTGTTTTGTTTTTGTTTTTTTGAATGTCCAGAGGACCAGATTGAACTTTTTTGGATTTTTCTACCTGGATTATTGAGCATGCATCAGGATATTGATTAACTAAAACACATTTTTAATCAACAAAGAACAAACGGCATCTCTCACAGTGAAAATACAAAATAAAATTACTTCTAGATTATCTGAGTGTTTGTGTGGGTGCATGATGCTTCACATCAGGGATATTGAAAAAAATATACATGAACGGCTTGCCATAAAATCCCCAATTATATGACACAACTGCTCACCATACTTAAACCATTTCCTGCAGCTGTTCCTGACCAGTGGAGCCACTGAGCTTTTCCACACGGCTGATTTGACTCGAGCAGTGTGCCGTTCTGAAACAGCCATGTTTTATGGGATGCAGGACATTAAATAATATTTCTCTGCTTCATTTCTGTCATTCTACGCAAATAAAACGTGGCTGGACCTCAAGCGTTTCTTGTTCCCTGTACAATTCTAAACATCTGCACAGAACCATACATGAACATGTGTACTGCACACCATATCTAATGCTTTTGGCAAAAACTTGTATTAAATTACAAACTGAATTGTGGCCTACCTTGCAGGAGCAGAGAAGTCTCCCCAAAGAAGATCTGAACCAGGGTTTGATTGAAGCACTGTGTTGGAGTTGCTGCTGTCCAGCTCCAAGAAGCAGCCTGACAGAGGGAAACAGAAATCACTCCACTCACACACTTTTATCGAGCTGCTGCTGGCACAAGCCAGAAACTGAAGAGCCTCTGAAGTGGGTTAGTCATGTAGGTTACAAGACATGATTCTTACGAGAAATTAAAAAACCTGGCACACACAGAGGCTCAGATTTAGTTTTTAAAACCCATTGTTATGTTGATGTGATGCTTTAACACGTATTGTTCCATCTACCTGTTGCTGAGCTTCCTGTCTGCTGGACATTGTTGTGATTGGATGACCCTGAGGAAGGGGGAGGGGCTATTTTGCCTCCAGGTGGTGGTGGAAGGAGCCCTGCTGCACCTGAGCCTTGTGGGCGGGGCTTATCCCTCTTTTTGCCTTGCTAGAAGAAGAAAAAAAAAGTTTAAAACATTTTTATTAAAACAATCCCCCAAAACAAAGTGAGTTCAAGCAAAATGCTGATGGGAAAGGAGAAAATGAGCAGATATATTTAAGGTATAATGGAAAAAAAAGCTATTTTTGTTTTTTGGACACATCTTGTAATTATCTCTTGATGAAATAACTGCGCTGCTTTGAATCTTCATGTTGCATTTCATTCATACAGCAATAAAGTTTTTTTTTTTTTTTTTTTTTTACATAAATGTTCTTACGCCTATATTGAGTGTGATGGTTTGTCCTTCCTTAAAACCCAAGTCCAGCTTTGGTCCCGAATCCCCGAGCTGGGCACTTTTACTGAGTTCATTCTCCTGTTTCACCCATCTGCAGAGAGACAGAAGCTCACACAGTCAGCACACACACACAATAAACAACAACAACACACGTCTGCAGAATAAATATGTGCACCTTTCTATGAGCAGGGTAAAATTAAATCCCTGAAAACTGTTTTTTTTAATGACAATATGCATCAGAATGGAAAAAAAACACGTTTTTTTTTAAATGTCACTCTAAATACATTGTTTAAATAGAACAAAATAAATGTTATGCTCCAACACTTTATTTACTTGAAGTGATCCTGCAAAGCCACATTAAAGTCGAAGGCGTCCCCTCGGTCCCCAAAGCCAACTCCAACAAAAGCGCTGCGGCCTGCACACAAGGACCGATGATGCTGACATGGAAATTTAAAAAAATATATATATTTTTTTAATTTTCTAAACAGTGAACTGCTCACCATTGTCATCCTGTATCTTCAGAACAAAGTACCGGCTGGAGTCGCTGACAGTTTCCACCGCAGCGCTGGGATACTCCTTCACTGGTGCCTGCGCAAACAGCTCCCCTGCAGAAAACCCACAGGAGACGTCTTTAATTTCAAAGTGTGACATCATCACACGGTCTGGATGAGCTTCAGATGGGTGGAGATGTCAGCATCAGCGATACGTTCCTGATCCAGGGAGTCTAACTCAGAGTTATAAAATCTTCAAAATGAATGAGAAGAAACTGCAAAATGTCAAACCTGAGATTTTGTCCTCAAGTTTGATGAACGCCACTGTACCCTTGGCTGTGATTCTCATCCGACCAGACCAGTCAGGAGCATCCAGCTTCCAGTCTGCCGCCCTGCAGGGTTCAAGGTTCAGCAACAGTTTTAGAACTGAAGGTCGCAATAATATGAACAGAAATGTGCCACTACGGTTCAGATTGGGCTCAATCATTACCCAAACATCAGCTAAATAAGATTTTCAGCTCACGTATATAAACATCGCTCAAAGGGGCAGATGGTTTGTGGGTGCCCATGAAGTGGAGGGGGGAACAGGAAGTCCTGAAGCCCTCAGCAGGGGATTCTGGCCATGCATCGGTCAACTTGGTGGTCTGTTAGTTTTTATCTTAAAGGATTATTTGAAAAAAAAAAAAATGCAGAAAATTTCAGATGTCCTCCCAACAGCTCACGCTCTGAAGTACAGGACTTCAAAACTCATGAACTGCCTTCATTTTATTTAAAGTGTGGATTTGTTCACTTTGGCACTGGTTCTTCCACATCTGCACCAAACAAATCAAAATCACATTTAATTAATTTAATGTTCTTTACTGCTCCTGTCCAGAATGTTTTATCTGCTAACTTTCATTTATTGGACATTATCTGAGGTAAAGCACTTTTCATGGATTCTGATATAAAGTTTTTATTTTATGTTTTCCTCTATTGTTCTAAATAAAAACAACAGTGACTGCTGGGTATATTGGGCACAAGTAACGCATGATACCCGGAAAGGAAGAAGCCGGTAAACATGGGTGGATATTATTAATTATAATATTATATATGTTTTATAAATTACATAAAATGACGGCAGCGCATTGGATCAATAACTCTGGGGTATTGGCTCCTCATCCTAAGATAAATCAATAGTATTCTGAGGGATAATAATATTTTTCCCGACATATTTCTTAGGGGCTCCGTTCTGTGTGAGGTCAGTATTTATCATCACTTGTTTCACGCATCACATGAAGAATGTGCGGGACTGGTAAAGTGTCCATGTTGACCCGCTGATAACAAATGATCTGATCACAGAAAATCATGACGCAAATCTTTTTCTGTAATTGGATCTCCAATATTATTAGGGGCAAGTGGAAATGAGTCACTTCTCTGGTTGAACAGCTCCGATCTAGACGGTTAAACCGTTAAACCGCCCCGCAGCAGCCCCGCAGCAGCCCCGCAGGTCTCCCCTCACCTGTACGCGCGGTTTGACGCTCGAGGCGGGATGCGATAAACGTTGACTTCTGGTTTGACGCACAGGATGGACTCGTACTCCCCCTCGGCAGCCATCTTCACCCGACTGTTATTGAGGTGGGAGGAGTTGTGAGTCATTTATTGGACTGAGGAGGCTGCGCGTGCGTTTGTGTCGGAGAGTAGGGCAGGCCGTTGTAACTAATATGTGTGTTACACGCATTCATACACCGCATTTAAATCTGGTATTGTGGGTTATGAGTTCAAATTTACACATGCTCACAGGGCCTGTGCCCTCCCCAGCGTTTGTTGAAACCCAATGTTATTATTATTATTATGTGGTAAATCGACTTACCATACAGGTAATGCACAGTAATGAGTATGTTTTCAGTCTTTACATAAAAACAACCACACAATGGTATTTATTGATAAATACATAATTGGAAATAAATTACACGTGTCATTTTATAAAATATTAAATAAGCTGAAATAATGTGAGCTGATGTGCATTTGTTTAACTAATAAACAAAAATAAACATATGTTGGAAGGGGGCGTGGCGAGCAGCGGCTGAAAACAGCGGAAGCGGAAATAGCTGCATCGTGTCGTCCGACTCGTCTCTCCTCGAAAATTCTGAATATTTACCAATGGTACGTGCTTTATTTTGCATTGGTTATTATAAAATTAACCTCAGCCACTTAGTGTCGTTATTACCTGCAAGCAGTGGTATTTTATTGGCGTAAAATGCACCTATGGCTCAGGTATCTGCTCATTCTCGCTAGCTTGACAGCATTAGCGTTAGCCATCACGGTTGTTAGCGGTCGCTCTCCGTGGTGCTGAAATACGTGACTCGTGAATTATAATCTTAAACACTACGTTGATTTGTTATTTAGTCACACTTGTTGTCGTGTTGTTCTGTAAAGGCATGTTTCCGCCTGTGTTTATCACACCAGCTAATTAGCTCGTAGCTTAGCTAAACAGTAGGTGGTCAAGGCGAGGTTATTTGTCGCAGTCAGATCAAGTCAACCAGACACAAGTTGACATCTGCAGCCGGTGTGTTTCAGCTTCAGTCACGTATATTGTTGCTGCTTGCCAACCTTTACCTCAGCAGTTTTCTCCTCCCTGCAGCTGTAGGATCTGGTTTCTGATATAAACCAGTTTAGTCGAGGAGGGAGAGAAAACATCAGGATGGAAGCTCTCTGAACCCCAGACTGCACACCAGCAGCCTAAACCACACAAGAAGATTTCCTTAAAGGTATTTGCATGTGTCCCTGTATACAGTGCGTGTGACTCTCTGTGTCATGGCAAAAGGAAAACAGGGATGGGAAGAGCCAGCTAAGCTTGTTTTTTAAAATCAGTTTAATATAAAGAAAAGCAACATATTCATTTCAGTTTATTTATATAGTTATAGTCAGAGCCAGAGGTTCTTTATTTGTCGTTTGCAGCACATGTGGTACATGTGGTGGAACGAAATTATGTACACAGGGTCCCAGTTACATCCAACAGTAAAACGTAAAAGAAAAACAATGATAACATCTAAGATATGAACTAAGAAAAACATTAACTAAAAATACACTAAGCACTAATAACATAAAAACATTACGTCGAACAGCAGCACGAACATGAGCATGAGTCTGTGTGAGCAGATGAGCACGCATGAACACATCAACGTGAAACAGATCAGCAGCAACATGAAACAGATCAGCAGCAACATGTGATTTTTCACAGTGATTATTCTGGTTAGAGATGCATGAGTCTAACAGCCTTAGGGTAGAAGCTGTTCCTCAGTCTAGTGGTTCTACACTTAATGCGCCTCAACCTCCTTCCTGAGGGGAGCAGGGCAAAAAGTGTGTGCGCTGGGTGAGTGGGGTCCTTCATGATGCAGGTGGCCCTCTTCCTGCATCTGGAGGTGTAGATGTCTGTGATGGTGGGGAGACTGACTCCAACATCTTCTGTGCAGCCTTCACCACTCTCTGCAAAGCTTTTCTTTCTGCAGCTGTGCAGCCTCCATGCCACACGTTGATGCTGGAGCACAGGATGCTCTCCACTGCACACCTGTAGAAGGAGGTGAGGACTGAGCTTCCCAGACCAGCTCGTCTCAGCCGTCTGAGGAAGTAGAGTCTCTGATGAGCTTTCTTGATCAGGCTGGTGGTGTTGTTGCTCCAGCTGAGGTTGTCATTCATGTGTACACCCAAGTACTTGTAGCTGGAAACCACTTCCACTGCAGATCCTTTTATGTTCAGGGGTGTGTGGGGTAGGTGTGTTTGTTCCTTCTGAAGTCCACAATCATCTCCTTTGTCTTCTTCACATTGATGTAAAGATTATTCTCTTTGCACCAGCTCTCCAGGTGTGCTAAGTGACAACAGAATTTGTCTCAGGGCATGAAATAAACATTCATATATATATAAAACAAGTTAACATTATTTATGAGGTGCAGACTGCTTTGAATTTAAATCCATCAACAAACTCTCATCTTGAGCAAGCACGAAGGCAACGATGGAAAGAAAAAACTCCCTCACGAGGAAGAAACCTTTAGCACATATGTCAAATTCAAGGCCCAAGGGCCAAATGTGGCCCTCGTTGACATCTTATCTGACCCCCAAGATGTTTATTTTAAATGTATAATACTTTAAACACTTAATTTTTTTCCAGTAATCTTTGTCAATATTGCAGCAGAGAACGTCAAATGAGACCAATCAAACTCTTGTTGAGGAACCTGCAACCAAGAAAAGATGTTGGGTATCTAACTTGAGCTACTGTAGAGTCTGAAACCGGCCCTTAGTTTGAAAACGGTTTTAATTTTGTCCCCCTTTTGTAGGTGTGTTTGACACCCCTGCTTTAGCAGAACCAGGCTCAAGACCTGCTTCAACAAATCCCAGGGATGAGACAGATTCAAGCAGCTGAATCCAGGATTGTGAAACAGTGTAATTTAAACAAACTTATCAGCATGGAGGAACAAGAACCAGTTTTAATAACAATTTGACTTCATGTCAATCTGTGAACAGATATGCACTATACAGGACAATTCTGTTACTCCTATTGGAGAAAACTCAGAGGGCCTATCAGTATCTTATTCATGTATTTTAGTTTTTTTACAACACTAGATTTGATTTAATCTGGCATTAGAGCATATTGTGTTTTCTCTGAATCAGATTGTGGTGGTTTCACTCCCCAACTCCCCTCAGTGGACAACATGACGTCCTCTATGCTCAGAAGACAGTTAAAGAACCTGGTTCAGAACTACTCCGAGGCCGAGGTCAAGGTAAGATGAACACATTTTATTTCTCCAATTAGACATTTCAGACACACAGTTTGAAATTTAGATCAGTTGTAAATCTTTAGATTTTACCAACCACTGTTGGGCGGTGGTAACAATGTTAGTGTCAGTAACAGATGACGATGCTTTAGATGTGACTGTGGGCTCCAGTCTTAGGCCAGCACACCATTTATGTCAGCATCTATTCACAAATCATTGTTTTGCTGTCCCCCTATTTGCTGGTCAGACTAGAAGAGATTCTTAGAGCATTCTAATACACCACACTGCAGCCAGTCTAGAAAACTGCTTCAGCCAGATGTTTTTGCTTTATTATTTCAGGTTTTAACTACATTATACTCTGCTAGCTGTGTTAGACATTAACAGATATTATTTTGTTTCTGTTGAAGGTGAGAGAGGCAACATCCAATGATCCATGGGGTCCATCCAGCACTCAGATGGCTGACATTTCAGATCTCACCTACAATGCAGTGGCTTGCAGCGAGATCATGACAATGCTCTGGAAACGGCTGAAGGACGACAAGAACTGGAGACATATCCACAAAGTAAGGGACACATAAAACTCACTGAGGAAACAGGTACAGGTGTTTGGATCTTGTTGTAGGAACAATTGCTTTGATGATAATTTGAACTTGTATAGAAAGATATCACCTTCAAGTACAACCACTACTGCGTTCATGAAACTTCTAATACCTGTTGTTAAAAGTTATATAGTTTCCAAGTTTTGTATTGTAGATATGATCTAACAGCTGATGAACATGCCTAAATTAAAATGCGTTTGCTTTGATGTGCTTATGCTGTTGCTTATAGGCTTGTCACTAAAACAAATGTTGCTGGGTGATTGTCTCAGAAATTATTGTGATAAACGATGCTATTGTTTGAAATTTGACAATAATTAGTAATTATTGTCAAATTTAAGAAGAAATGTTTAATTTGTTTTGCATCTAGTGCCTTTTTTCGACCACCGGCTGGCAGTATAAGACCGTTTGAACCGAAGGATGGATAGTGAGGGAACGAGCAGCATGTCTCTTTAAGAAAAATGGGAGGGAGGCCCCTTGATGTGACATGGGCTGTCTCTCTTCGGTTCTCAAAATGGTGGACACTCAGTGTGGTTTGAACTCTTTATCATAGCATTTTTCTCACAAAGCTTTTAATAAAAAAAATCAGTAAACAAGTTCTCAGCTTCTTTTTGCAGAGAAAAACAACTTTTTACACGAAGGCACAAGTTTCAACTGTGAATTTTGGAGCTTCAACAAGACGGAGTTCGGCCTGTTTAGCTCGTAGCTTAGCTTCTCAGCTTAGCTGCTTTTAACGATCCAAAAACGTGATTTTTGGATCGTTAAAACAGATTTTAAAGAGAAAAGAGAAAGGGAGGGGTCGGAAGAAAGAGACACGAAGAAACGATAAAGCCGATAAATTAAAATAAGGGCGATCATTTTTATTTATCATGCGATTAATTGATTTATTGGTTATCGCGACAGGCCTAGTTGCTAATTTGTGTTTTGTATTCAATTTATAATCAATTACAAAGCAAATGTATTTTTAAAGATCACAGAAGGAATGTGAAAATGTTTTGCAAATTGTTGATTTAAACATTTCAGAACATCAGTAAACAAATATTAATGCTGCCATCACAAAACAAACGTTTCTTAGTTGATGTTACGTTAAACATTTAGTTTATATATCACTAACAGGTCAAACTTTCACAAACATTTACATATAGATGAAAAAGTGAAATCTACAAATTGCTACAATTGCTACAAATCCTACAAATTAAAAAAATATATAATTTTTTAAAGCTATTAATGCTCGTAAAAATATAATTCT